AACAGCATGCTTCTTTTCTGCTCATTACTGCTGAGAGGTACCACATGGCACTGAAGAACATTTTTCTTCCCTCTTCTTTCACCAGTAGGGAACTCCAACTCTCAGGATCAGGTAGCCATAGAACCATTTGAGATCAAGCCATCTTTCTAATTTATTTTGCTTTGATACCATACTTGTCTCTGTGGCACATGTTATAGAAAGCACCCTTTCTACTACAGCAACAGCGATCATCACCTATCCAAAACATGCCGCTGTAAATTCCATTTCCCTCTGCATCCAGCTCCTATGCCCATATAGACTATACAACTCCCTCTGCCAGTTGCCTGAGAAAAATGTGAGAGCAAATGTATATGCCTCAGAACCACTCTGTAGTCTTCTCCTCCTGCTATGGATGATTACAGATGCGCATACTTTAGTGAATTGAGAATTAGAAGCAATCACTTGGAAGCACCATTATAAAACATTATGAAGTACCATTAAAAAGCAAGCTTGTTGTTCATTATCCTTTCATGAATAGCCAGAGTATATGATAAAATATCAAGGTCATAAAAGTTATTTCACTGCCTACAAGGGCATATCACAGAACCAAAGTGCCCCAGATAGATATCTGGATGTCATCAGCTACCGCTCACCCAGGGAGTTGTGATAGATATACGTGTGCCTCTCCTCATGCTATTCCAGCTGCGAGGTAACTCATTCCTACTTAAACAAATAATTTTTGAGATTTTACCCTGAAACAGAGATGGGTTAGGAGTGGACTCATAGCATGAGTTGGCTGGGCATGCTTTGACCTGTGGCAAGTTTATTTTTCCCAGCGAGGGGCCATCCCCATCACAGACCCCTGGCACTGGGAGGCACAAGCCAGGCGAGCCCACGGTGCCGTCGCCTCCATCCACCTGGCTTTCACCAAGCCTCTCCTAGCGGTGGTCAGCCACAAACATCCGCCAAGCCCTGCGGGGCAGGGAGCATTTCTCACCTTTATCGTTGGTTCCTCCGACGTACTTGAGGAGCTTGAGCACCCCTTCCTTCGAGGCTTCGTCGAATGGCTTCCCCGTCACCTCCACCGCCGCAAACCACCCACCCTCGCACACCCTCTCCTCGTAGCTGAGCTGCCCCTGGGGGCGGG